ACTCATCACAGAGAATGGAGCCCAGTTTACAAGTCGCGCGCTGAAACAGTTCCTCGCTGAGGCAGGCATACAGCAACAACTGACGGCACCATATACACCTCAGGAGAATCCCACGGAGCGGACCAATAGAACGGTCAAAACATTGATTGCTCAGCTGGGGGATGGGCAGCACAACACGTGGGACGAACAACTGCCGGAAGCACAATTGGCTATTAATACAGCACTTTCAGACGCAACGGGCTACTCACCGGCTTTCATCCTATTTGGGAGAGAACCAAGGCATCCACGCACACTGTACGGCAGGGATTCAGACGCCCCTGAGGCAGTACCAGGTAGCCCACAAACACACGCGACACTGGTACAGTTCATTGCCCGAATATCGAAAAGAAACCAAGTGGTGGCCATTGAGGATCAGGCGCGTCAGTATAATCTGCGGAGGCGCGAGTGGCGACCCCAACTAGGCGACGAGGTTCTCGTGCGACAGCATCACCTGTCCAACGCCGCAGAGCAGTTTGCAGCCAAGCTGGCGCCTCGCTTCGATGGGCCATTCACAGTGCGTGCATTTATATCCCCAGTCATAGTGCGCTTACGACCAGTAGCAGGCGGCAGAGGTAGAACAGCACATGTGCGAGATCTGAAGGCGCTGAATGCAGACGTCAGCGTCGCCGACGAGTGCAGCGACAGCGGCAGTTGCGCTGGTATGACGACCATGCCACTGGCAATCTCTCAACAGCAGCCATCACAACAGCCACGACAACAGCCGCAACAGCGTAAGCGGCAGCGGCACGATAGTAGCGGCCGCAGCAACGGCAGCAGTAGCGACTTCAACAGCAGCGGCACCAATGCAGCAGCGGCTGCGGCTACGTTGATGAAGGCAGTAGTGGCGACGCCGGCAGCCGCGGCAACAGGTGACGACAACAGCGGAGGCAGCGGCAGCCATGGCAGCGACGCCAACACAGCCAGGCCAGCGGTCAAGCGTCGGGGCAACCAAAGCAGGCGCTCCTAGCTGAAGAATAACGTCCACGTAATCCTGCAGACATAATCGAATTTTATTACGTTTCAGCCACATATAGCACAAATGATACCTCAACGGCACCGATGGGAGGCCCGGTGCACTGGTTGCAATCTACGCAGTATAAGAGGTACACCGTGCATGCCGCTGGCACATAATTAGCCGTTGCGTGCTACAGGTAGTCCATCAGCGGCAGGCTATGCAGGCTGGAAAGTATAGTCAGTACTTTTGCGAGATGCAGCTCGTTGCCCAGCAATCACCAACAGATTCCGCACCCCAGAATTTGAAATTCAAACACGTGGCGGAAATGGAGAGCGAAGACAACGATGCGACAGAATGACAGCGCGAGCAGCTGACTGTGAAGTTACAGGTGGCGTCGACAGGTGGTCAAACGCGAGGGGTGGCAGCGCTGCCACCCAGCTGCTACACATCTGCCTTTCGATTATGGCGCGATGCTAACAAAATTTGAAAACACCATCGATCGGGCCGTTCGACCCTTTGGGGAAAGGGGGAGGTGTAACGACGCACAGCTGCCAGCTACGCAACGCGTCGTCACGATGCCGATGAGTAGTTTTTAAGTAGGTGTAAGTAGTTGTAAGTTGAAGAGAGTTTTTGGAGTTAGTTCTGTTGGGGAGGCAAACGAACGCGCATTGAAGCGCACCCTCCTATTTTGAGATTTTAGAAATAAAACACAAAGCGTCGTATTTGAGTGGTAACTGCGGGCTCGCTTTATTTCTGGGGGACCAAACCAAGAATTTTGCAGCGTCTCTGGCCGACGAGTATACCCGGGCCAGAGCAACGTTACAACCTTAAATGCTAATCCTACTGGTAACTTAAAGGGTGAAAGCATATGGGTAGGTTATGCACACACAAAATAAATACAATTGGAAACATTATATTGAGCCGGGTTAAGACGGGCAATACTAGTAATAATAATTAAAAGAAATAAAAAATTAAATAAGACTAATCTGCTAGTTTAAGCCGTATTTGTATTTTTATATAAGTTTAATTTAAGTTGTTGTAAATAATAGCAGTAAAGTAAAAGTTTTATGAATATTAAAAAAAAAACAATTAAAAAAGCTAAAGTCGGGTGTCCCGACTTTGAAATACTCTGTACATATGTTTACAATAATTATAGAAATTAAAAAAATAATTTTGATCGGTGTTCGAACTCACGTAAATGGTGTATAATTGCACATATACAAAGCAATGAATGTCTGCGCGTCTGTGTAAACATGTTTACAGTCGACCAAACAGCAACATAAACAACGGCTGCGGGCAGTGCTGCCATTTTTTTAAATTTAAAAACAAGTAAAAAAGCTAAAGTCGGGTTTCCCGACTTTGAAATACTCTGTACATATGTTTACAATAATTATAGAAAATAAAAAAAAAATAAAAAAATTTAAAAAAATATTTTGATCGATTTTACCTTTTTTGGTATTTGAACTCACGTAAAGGGTGTATAATTGCACATTTACATAGCAATTGCGTCTGTGTGAGTGTATGTATGCCTATGCGCATCTATTCGTGTCTGTGTAAACATGTGTGCAGTCAACCAAAGCACTAGCATCAACAACAGTCGCGGGCAGCGCTGCAGCAGCAAATATATTTATGGCTATAACTTCTTGTTAAATCGGTCTATCATAGTTAAACTTGGCATACGGACACATAATAACTAACTGGGGGTATTTGCGCCTGCGCCTGCTGAAACGGTGAAGAAGAAGAGTATTAAGAAGGGGGCTGAAGAGGTTACACCCTGCTGATCTTAATAATAATAATTAAAAGAAATAAAAAATTAAATAAGACTAATCTGCTAGTTTAAGCTGTATTTGTATTTTTATAAAAGTTTAATTTAAGTTGTTGTAACTGTACATTTCATGTACAGAGTATAAAAAGCTGTTTCTAACTGGAAGAAAGAGCAAAAACAGTAAAACAGCCTGTACTCTCCACAAAAAAGGAAAATTAAAAAAATTAAATTAATTAAATTTAAAAAAATGTATTTAATACATATGTACATAGAAGACATGTTTATGTTAAGTTTTAACAGCATACATTTACATCACGCGTCAATGCGTGTATGTATGCAGCACAAAGTTGAACCAAAGCAGCAACAACAAGAGCTTCGGGCAGAGTTGCAGGCAGCGCATGGGCAGCGATTTTAAGTATGGCTATAACTTTGTTCAGAATTGACCTATCATGATGAAACTTGCCAAATTTGAGTTCAAAATTTCAAGAATTACAGGAGTTATGAAAAACATGAATTGCGGGGGAGTCGCGGGGTGAATCCGAAAAAAAAACATAAGCTCGTCCTTTCTCGGACTTATCTGGATAACAAGTTTGGTTATTCTAGCTCCTTGCGTTCATACAGACGGACGGACAGGGCTATATCGACTCAACTTGTCATCCTGATCAAGAATATATATACTTTGTGGGGTCTGCCACGCCTCCTTCTGCCTGTTACATTTTTCAGCTCGCGCAAGTATACTAGTATACTCTTGTAAATTTCTTGTTCAGAGTATAATTTTGAAGAATATATATACATTGTGGGGTCTGCCACGCCTTCTTCTCCCTGTTACATACATTCGCACAATACTATATACATACGAGCCCTAACCACTATTAATTGGTACGGCAAGGTTTTTTTCGACAGTGCAACTTTCAATGACTCATATTTATTTGTAGGCGATGATTGCCCAAACATATTTATACTTTTTAAAAAGGTAATTGAATTACCTTTAATTTCATATCAAAACATGCACAAGTTTCATATCAACAAAATGAAAAAACTCAATTTAAATAAAACAACTTTCATACTACACGAAATATTTTGACCATTATTAATTGGTACGGCAACATTATATATTCATTAAAACTGAGTAACATCTCCTTTATTTTTAATAACACCCTGAATTCTCTTCTGCATGGTATTTACTAATTTTAGGCATTCTTCTGGAGTTATGGAATCCCCAATTTCCTGAATTTTTGATTTTAGTCCTGACAGAGTACGCTGTGGGTCATTCCTCAGCTTTCTTTTGATGATTGCCCACAAGTTTTCTATTGGGCTTAGATCTGGGCTTGATGACGGCCAATCTAAGACATCAATTCAATTTTCTTGAAGCCACTTTTTGGTTGTTTTTGCGGTGTGTCCTTCAAAGTAATCTCCTTCCATCAATACCAAAGCTTTCTGAGTGTGGGGAATATACCTTTCAACAGGATGGTGCATCACCACACACCGCAATTCAATTACCTTTTTAAAAAGTATAAATATGTTTGGGCAATCATCGCCTACAAATAAATATGAGTCATTGAAAGTTGCACTGTCGAAAAAACCTTGCCGTACCAATTAATAGTGGTTAGGGCTCGTATATACCCTTTCACCCTTTGGGTACAGGGTATAAAAATCAAGTATGCAGTTTATCTTGGCCTTTGGGATGTGCGTTGATTACCAATCAGTTAGTCAGTCAGGACAAACTGTTTTATATACATAGATTATGTGTTAATACTGATTTTAAAGCGTTCCATAGGCAGCCATTCAAAATCGTTAACAAACTACAAATAGTTTATTTATTACAGATATTAAATCGCAAATTTATTATTAAATGTTGTATCGGGCTGTGTTACAAAAATATCATAACCTACCAGGTAGTGCGAGCTCGTGCGTATTTTCATAGGTTCATTTTGTGGCCATATCGTTTCCAGGCCATGTCTATTTTGAATTTAAGTTTACTGTCTCTGTGTAGATATTTCGAAACATTCAACTCTACCTCTTTAGCATACATTTTAACTGCCTTATTGAAAGTAACTGCATAACCACTTTAATCGCCAACAAACCGGGCATGAAACACCGGGCTAGTGTAGAGATTTAGCGATGTTTATGTTATAAGCAATCCCGTTACATTGCACCATCTTCGAACATGCTAACAAAAATATGTTATTGGGGCTTATGCAATAGAATGTTGTAATTGTTCCAGTTAATTATTCAAATAAATAAATTATTTTAATAATATTTAATTTCACATGAACTGGCACAGTAAATATGTACATGCATACATAGATACATATGTATGTACATATGTATACTATGTACGTTACGACATACAGAACTACAATTTTCTCGTAAAATTTATGTGATGGTTGAGGGGTTTTAATTATTTAAAGGTTTGCTGTGTCCTTCCGAAATCCTAATCTGGACCACTCCGTTCTATCCATTAAATTATTATCCATACGACAGCTTAAATAGTCCTGTGCCTGTTGACGGCATTTTGCACTATCGCTTTCGTTTCTCCGTATACAACTTACATACAGTAAAAACTGATTCTTGCATAAGCTGTCGTGGTCCAATGGAAAACTTCCCTTATCGGGCGCAGTGGGAATAAACTTCTTCTGGCTGTATATTTGAGAAGTCATTATTTTTAGTCCAAATTTAGAAATAAGATATAAAAAGCTGCCATTTATCGATTTTGCGTGAGAATTAATCGACTATAAATTAACTTAATCGATTCTTTTCATAGGTAAAGAATTGTTATTCCGTTGTGGAAAACAATTTTGTTTTTAGAATTGATAACTTAATCGTATATCATTTTAATTCCATGCAAGACAAATAATAATTAATTTGTTATGATTTCTTTAGATTAATAGCTATTATATGTACACAAAAAAATTAATCCGATAAGAATTACATAATTATCAGGGGTGACAGAAATCTCAGAAGTTTCGCCTACAGTTGTTTTTGAAATCTCAAAAAAAAAAAAACGTCGGTGCTACAGAACTTCTATAGATTTCATTTTTGGAACTTCACCTTCACGCCAGCTATTCACAAGGCACCCCTGTTATGCATAGCATTTGTAACAACGGACTTGCCCACTCAGCGACACTCAATTTGCGCCAAGTTCGTTGAATTAATACACAGTTTATTGGTACTTATTTGAAAGAAGAATTGTGTCACATATATTTTATTTTTAACTTTCGTTTGACTCACAAAATAGGATTTAGTTCAGCAAAAAGTGATGTTCAAAAAATGTAATTTTCTATTTGCTTAACTAATTAAGCATGTTATCCACATTAAACATTTTACCTCATTTCAAAAATTTGTCCACTTCTCCGTCGCCCCTCCTCTTTGGCAAAGAAAATATAATAATTTGATGTAATTTGGCAATTATTAATATTACTTACTTTTAGCAGCCGTTCAACATACCTCCAAATAAATACGTACATTCAAATGTTCACTATTAATCGATTCTCAACACCCAAAATCGATGGTTAGCAACAATGTTAAACATCGACTAAATCGATTAAGCGTCGATTTTTCTTGCAGCTCCAACGCAAACTGGTGAAACCTACATAAACTTCTTAGTACTGTTAACATTTTGATAGAATCTATGATAAAAAATCTAAATTTTGTATGATATTTTGAGATGTTATTTATTTTCTTTTTTTTTATGCTTTGAAATAAAAATTTTTTGACAACAACCAGCTGTCAGCAACAGATGATTAACGACAAAATAGTGTAAGAGACCCGATTTGATTTCCGCATCCAAGCTGATCTCAAAGGCAAACGCCTTACCGAATCCACCACTTTACGGTCAACCAAAGGGAAGTTGACTGAAGTAAAACCTGCTTACCCGTTACATCGAAATCACTCGAGCAATTAGCGAGCGTTATTGCGCATTGTATAATATTTGCTCAAGTTGAATTTTGTTGCCGGTGGATTTTTTGCCTAAACAAACTGTCAAGTTTTTTATTTTTTCATCGATGAAAACATTTTGATCAATTTCGTATGCTTCGATTTTATATTTTAATTTGTCAATTTGATATTACATAAATTTTAATCATACATTTTTTTTAAAAATCCCGTTTTTCCCTGATTTTTTCGTGTATTATAAATAAATGTACATGTATAACACCTATATTTTTATAGCCTGTACCCAAAGGCTATATTAGTTTTGTGCGAATGTATGTAACACACAGAAGGAAGCGTGGCAGACCCCACAAAGTATATATATTCTTAATCAGGATGACAAGCTGAGTCGATATAGCCATGTCCGTCTGTCTGTCTGTCCGTCTGTCTGTCCGTCTGTCTGTATGAGCGCAAGGATCTCAGTAAGTACAAGAGCTAGGATAACCAAAATTGGTATCAAGGTTCCTATAAGCCCTAGGCAGATCGAGTTTGTTTATTTTATCTGATACACCCCCCCCCCACTCCCCCGCAATTCGTGTTTTTTCTTATAACTTCCGTAATTCTCGGAATTTTGAAATCAATTTGGTAGGTACATCCAGTTAGTACTAATGTGTCCGTGTGCCAAATTTCATCATGATAGGTCAATTTTGAAGAAAGTTATAGCCATAAGTAAAATCGCTGCTCATGTGCTGCTCATGCGCTGCCTGCAGCTCTGTCGGCAGCGCTGCCCGCAGCTGTTGTTGTTGTTGCTGCTTTGGTTCAACTTTGTGCTCCATACATACACGCATATAAACACGCATAGGTACGTGATGTAAATGTATGCTGTTAAAACTGAACATAAACATATATTCTAATTTAATTTAATTAATTAATTCATTCATTCATTTTATTTAATAATTTAATTTTTTTTTAATTTTTTTTTTTTTTTGTGGAGAGTACAGGCTTTTTTACTGTCGGGCTTGCTGGCCTGTAGCGTTCTATCTTGTTTGAATTATTTTTATTGTGGGGTGGTACAGGGTATTTAAGAGTTGACCCGCTCGCTTCTTGTTTTCATTATTATTCCTCAAGTCTTTGACTTCCTTTAACATTAATCCAATTAGTAGGCACTGATATTTTATGAAAATTTAACCATTTCACGACATGATTATTGCGTAAATAACACGTCTGAAGAATTTAAGTATTATCCAAATTTGTAAATTCATAAAGCGTTTGCACATAGTTCATTAAAAATTACCAAATTTTTTACTGCGCTGTTGTACTTGTGTCTAGTAAACGTACAAAGCTACATTATGAAATATTTTTTGGAGGTTTTGCCCTCTGGCGCTCACGAACAGGGCTATGTGGAGCGGAGTGCGTTAGCTCCAAACTTTTTTAATATCATTTGATGTGGTCGTTAAAAGACGTCAAGAATGACGTTGGGCCACTGCATGCGTAGCCGCCATAACGAAGGACCCAGTCTTATTTCCATGAGTTCGTCGGCCAATGCTGTTTGCTCTTAAATTGCTTTTGAGCGTAGTAGCTTAAGTACATCAATAAGTTCAGAGATAAAATCTGCTTCAAATCCGCTCAGCAAGTGATAGCACCGTGCGGCAGTGGTGGCGCAATTACGCTGGTTATCCATCATAATTCATGTGTGTTTCAAAATGCGGGGTCACAACTGTAAAATCCAAGTATATAATGTATTACGTTTTGTTGAGCTACCAATATTTTTTGGCAACTGTATTGAATACTATAATCAAGACTTGCTTTCTACAAATAAAACAGCTTAACTTTCAACAACAACGTTATAAATGTTTATTGTAAATATCGAAGGGCGTAGGCATATAAAGTCGACCACACGTTTATTATTATGACGCACTATTTCGCCTTTAAATGGATTTGAGTTGAATTTGCTGAAGTTTTTTCATTGATCATATGCATAAGTTATTTTTGAAATGCATCGCGCATTATTTAATATAAATTTAATTTTCAAATCCAACCTTCGGTCGGAAGGAATTAGTTGCTGTTAAAGTAACTTTTCCGTCTTTTGCTCTTTACATCACTTGCTCGTATATACCTCCCTCTTCTAATATTCAAGTTTATATGCAACATATAACTTGTATTAAAGCAATTTCCACTCATCTCCGTGACAGAGATGCGTTTGTTGTGCTAGATGATTTTAATTTGCCTAACATAGAATGGTCATTTATCAATGAGTCCAATTATTTTGTGCCCTCAGCAGAACATGAATTTTTGGATTGCCAGTTGGGCCTTTCTTTGTTTCAAATTAATTCTATACCTAATCACCTCAGCAAAATGCTTGATCTCGTCTATGTCACTGAACCTAGTAGCGCTGTAGTCTCTAGGTCTTTACCCTTGTCAGTGCCTGAAGATACTTACCACCCTACTTTAGAAATCTCCCTATCATTTTCAAATCACACCTTTATTCCTTCACTTAATTCTAACAAATCACGTCGTTGCTTTCGCAAAGGAAATTTTTCTTTGCTTAACGAACTTATTTTAGCAACTAATTGGTCATTATACTCTGTACATGAAATGTACAAGAGTATATTAGGTTTGCGGGATCTGAAAAATGTAACAGGCAGAAGGAGGCGTGGCAGACCCCACAAAGTATATATATTCTTGATCAGCATGACGAGACGAGTCGATCTAGCCCTGTCTGTCTGTCTGTCCGTCTGTCCGTCTGTCCGTCCGTATGAACACCTGGATCTCAGAGACTATAAGAGATAGAGACACCAAATTTTGCACGAAGATGCGTTATGTGTGTATTCTATACGAGTTTGTTTTATTTTTTTGATTTTCCCCCCCACTTCCCCCCTATGGGGGTTTTCCCGATTTTCCATTTGTATAATCGCCTATATCTCGGAGACTATAAGACCTAGGAACACCAAATTTTAGTCCCAGATGCCTTATGTGAATACGCAGAAAATGTATATTTTGGAATTCCCCTCCCTCCCCCCTCTACCCCGCAAATCGTAACTCCCGTAATTCTTGGAATTTCGAACTAAAATTTTGGAAATACCCCCAGTTAGTTATTATGTGTCCGTATGCCAAATTTCATTATGATAGACCGATTTAACAAGAAGTTATAGCCATAAATATATTTGCTGATGCAGCGCTGCTGCAGCGCTGCTCAAGCGCTGCCCGCGGCTGTTGTTGATGTTGCTGTTTGGTTGACTGCGAAAATGCTTACACAGACACGAATAGATGCGCATAGGCATACATACACTCACACAGACGCAATTGCTATGTAAATGTGCAATTATACACCCTTTACGTGAGTTCGAATACCGAGACAGGTAAAATCGATCAAATTTTTTTTTTTATTTTCTATAATTATTGTAAACATATGTACAGAGTATTTCAAAGTCGGGACACCCGACTTTAGCTTTTTTACTTGTTTTTGTATAGTGCGGTTGATATAAACATAGCCGTCAAGTTTTTTTATGACACTATTAATGCTCTTTTTGATGTCTGTATCCCAAATAGTGTCATATCGTCTGCATCATCAAAACCTCCTTGGTTTTCACCAAGACTTTCAAACTTAAAAAATGTTAAATCTAGATGCTTTAAAAAGTATAAGCAGTCGGGCTTATCTCTTGACTTCTATAATTACTCTATAGCGGAATCGAATTCTGTTCTTCTTAATTCCCTATGTTACAATAATTACCTTGCCCGATGCAAGATGCAATTTGCACAGGACCCTAAACAATTCTATAAGTTCGTTAATTCTAAACGTAAAACTGCTTCTCTACCTTCATCATTTT